ATGTCTTCCTATTGGCGATCGGAGTATCCATTCCTCTCATTCTGCGCTTCGGTCTCTCTATTCCTCACATTTATGAGGGATTTTCCACAGACTCTACTTCTTCTAACATAAGCGCCTGGACTTATCACTACTGGTCATCTTTACCGTACTTTCAAACTTATATCATCGGTATTCTCATGGGTTATGCTATCCGTCGGCACCCGAAGGCATACTTAGGCGGACGGATAGGAGAGACGATCATATCTTTGTTGACATTTTCGATGACATTTTGTATCTGTTGGTGGAATAAAGACTTTATGCACTTTAGCTATAGATATACACGACTTAATGGATACGAACAACACTTATATCTATTAATTCATAAAGTGTTTTACTTATCGGGATTTTGTTGGCTTTTCTACGCCTGTGCCACCGGTAGAGCCGGTAATATATTTAAAATTCAATTTATATTTTAACTAAATTTATAATTAATAAATATACTTTTATATTTTATTTCTACAGAAATAATAAATAAAATAATGGGTTGGAAGGGATTTAATGTAATCAATAATTTGGCGCTTGAAATATATATCGTAAGTATTTTTATAATTTATATATTGCTGTTTACAGTCATTATTATTTACTGTTTATTTCAGTTACATATGTTTGTCATAGTGTACAGACTTGGTACTTTAAGAGAACAAGTTACTTATAATGATTATTATGTGGTGAGTTATATTTAAAAATTTATAATTATTATTAACAATAATTTCCATGTTATTTAATATTTAATTTTTAAAACACATTTTCTACTGAATGTTTAATTAGTTATCGAGCTCTATCTCCGACTTTATAATTACATACATTTTGGCGGTTTTGTGTGCAATCATTATAACAAAACCCTTCGCGACATTGACTACAGATTTGTTAATCGGAGGCAAAAAACCATCGAAAGGACAATACGACCAAAATATTGCTTTGAAAATAGATATTTCATCAAATGGTAAGGAAATAGACGTCAATAACAATAATAGTCACAATGAAAATGATAGAAATAGTTATGCAAATTCAGGATTTATTAAGGATAACAATCAATTAAATGAATTGAATACAGTTAAACATTAATTTGTGGAATAATAATAATTGTGTAATATTTTGTAATAAAAATCGTATTATCGAAAACATTGTTATCTAATTAATAATTTATTATCTAAGATAATAATAAATGTTAACTTTTTAAATAAATAAAATTTTGTATAAAAAATTATTTGCTATCAATTGACCTCCAAATGGGTACTTTTATTAACTCGTTCATTTATTTAATGATTGGTTTCAAAGAATATCAAATCAATAAATTGCATTTATATATTCATTTAACATAAATGATAAATTTTACACAATTAAATTATATTAATATATTAAAGAGTATCATATATTTGCTAATTCTTTATAATAACCATGGGCATTTTTATTTTACTTTCTTGTCAGTATTTTCTTTTTTACGTGATATCAAATAATTGATAAGTAAATTATTGTATGGCTTTTCAATCGTAATATGGATTATAAAGCCAACCACAAGTGACAAAACTGTAAAACCAATTATATTGACCAGCTGCAAAAAAGAGAAATAAAATTAATCAAGATAATTTAATAGAAATTGAATCATGCTTTGATTTTAGACTAAAATTGGCCTGATATATTGATAATACCAGAAACAAATTAGGAATCCTGGTAATATGTACTCTGCCCGACACTATATAAAAGCGAATGAACTCAATATTGACCATGGTGGCCGCAAAACACAATTTACTTAGGCGCTTGTTTCCCAAATATTGAAATATGGTAAATATCTTGGCCGGACCTGACGTGAGATACATAAAATACTTATACTGTATATTTTGTCAAATGTTTTAAAACCTTTGTTTCCTTTGGCGAGACATAGAGTTATCCAACAAATGCCAATCGTATAGAGGGGTCGCATAAATGATGAATAAAATATTAATAATTTCATTGAATCGTAAACATTGTAACCATTGATTATATATGTGGAGAAAATACAACTAAACCTATGGTTGCTATTGTGATAACTATACTATAAAACGCACATGAAACTTTTATTTACACACGTAAAAATTAATTACACTAAAAATAGTATAATTTATATCACTTAACACAAAGTTTTCATGTATGTAGGCTTAGAGTAATCTTGTTAATTTTGACAATAATATAACCGGTTAATAATCCCATAAAGTATTCGGTCAAATGGGAATATTTTTTATCATATTAAATATAGTGAATTGTGTTTCAAAAGTACATACATCGCTTAGAGTAATCTTGTTAATTTTGACAATAATATAACCGGTTAATAATCCCATAAAGTATTCGGTCAAATGGGAATAAGTGGAACAATGGTATATATGCGCTTTTTGTTCTTCGTCCAATCTATTAAATTATAAACTAGATTATTTTGTCAATATTACTTACGAGTTAGATTCTTTAAAAATTAATATATAAAACCTAAGTTTTAGGCCTAAAACCTAATATCATGTTTTTAGTAAAAAAAAAATAGTATAAATAATAATGAGCATGATAAAGTACAATACATACATGCCTTCATTTATTGTCCGTATAATAGGCGGTGGGATATTGTAATAAGCGGTCAAAATTCCGGGCACTATCATTCCCAGGGCTATAAAACATGCTGAATAAATAACTCCGTATTTCCAACTCTTTGCCAATAATGTGAGCCCGAAATACGATAGTATAAACAGTTGCATCTCAGCCGATATAAACCATGTTGAATAGGCACACTTTACATACAATTAATACAACACGATTTAATATTATAAGTGAATTATTTGATTAGATTTAATATTGAAATGTACTGTACCTGTTCGGGCACGGGAAACCAATTATGAATAAATAATAAATTTTGCCAAAGCGCTCGGTCACAATTGGCAATTTCAACTTGGTAATAATATTTAAACGTCGGTCCGGAGCCCATGTATACAAATAGTGTGTTAAATGCTATTGTTATCAATAATACGGGAACGATACTAAATTTAAAATGTAATTTATACAGTAATTAAATAATAGGTTATATGTTTGGGCCAATAATACCTACCGAACCGCTCGACTGATAATATATAAACTAAAAGGCACTTTATGTCGGCTCTCAAAGTATTTAAGGCCAGATATTGCGGCCAGAGTTCCGCTATTAATGAAATGGACATATTGTTCACATATTGTTACAAATATCAATGTTAATCACCTCATGTAAAACACTAGCTCAATAAAAACGGCCGCATTCATCATGATTTGAGAGGCAAAATCTCCGCCCAATACTAATGTTGTCCTGTGTTTAGCTTAATGGTAAATGTTATCATTAGTGTTAATCTTTGTGATCACGTTTTAATGAATATAACATTAAAAACGCTTACATATGCTTAATGGAAACGCGAGTAAACCGTTCAATAATATATGACTTGTGATGACATAAATTAAAATTAAAACTTTCAAAAAGTCAAAGTAACTCAAGTCAACAAAATCATCGCTTTTTGGTTGTTGTTTATCGGCCAAGAAATCGCTTAAATTTCTTTGCGGTGAAAATGATTTGACAATCAGTGATAGTCTTCCCAATTGATTGTCGTCGCCATTGTATAAGTAGTCCATAATAGTGGACAGTATTACTAACGCACTCGTAATCACTACAAAAGATCTGAATTGAAAAAAATTAATTTAGTTGTCATTTTAAATATCGTACTGTTATTTAATGTCTATGTTATTTAATAATGTTAAACAATTATAAGTATACTTAAATGTAAATTACAAAAGTATTTTCTGCGATGAAGACATGGGTGGACTTTCTTCGTCTTTGTGAAAGCAATCTTTATTTTCCAAATGAATTTTCACGTTAAATGGTTTGAAAACTATTTGATTGAGAAATAGTAAACTGGTATTAATATTGAAAAGTTTTGAAAAATCATAATTAAAAATATATGTAATTACTTTCAACTAAAATTGATTTCAAGTCTGCGGGCGTACAGAGAGATGGTATGCAAAACGCGTTAGTAATCATACGCTCTTTAAGCTGAGAGAAGGCATTGAATGCCTCCCTATAGACCGAGTCGTTTGATTGTCTAAAGTCGGCGTCAAATGGCAGCTCAAACCGCGGACTACAGTATTTGCCCACAAATTGCAGTTCACTGTTGGTGTTGTCATCGGTGCTCACTCTAAGGCATTGGTCAAAATCGCCTAACGCTCCGAACGTGCCGTCCATAAAGCCCACTGGAAAGTGACCCCACGAGTCAAATACTTGACCAACAAATGTTTAGCATGGTTAGTTTATTTAATTATTTAACTTTCATACATGTTTCAACATAAATATTATCAATATAATTATACGTACGTTCAATAGCCCACCAATTCATACGATAGGCCTCATCGATGGTGTGATGCAATGATCGCAAACAATTAGTTGATATATTTTTCTTTGTCTCAAGTTTTGTTAAAATTGGTTTCAAGTTATCGCGGATTATATTTATAAAATATCTAACATTTTCTTCCAGTAATGTTTTATTATTGACATTATCTACAGAATTGACTGCAGATAATGTCAATAAAAGTACAATCAATACTTTAAACATGGTCAACAAATAATTAAATATATTATGATCATTTATTTTTATATTAACTAAAATGTTTATAAACAAAATATATTTTTGAACTTTTCATTAAATTATTGCTTATGATGAATATATTACATAGACCTTTGAAAAAACCTTATTTCATCACATATTCTGACAAATTAAGGAATTATAATAAAAAACAATGATTTCATAATAAGTGTAAAACAGAGTTATTTAAAAAACCACACGGAAAAAATCTTATTTAAATCATAATCATTAACATAGTTTTTGTAATACTATCAATACAAATCTGTATAACAAAAATATTACAAATTTATTTGCAAGTATATTTTTGCAGTAATTTTCTAATAATTAAAAAATTAATAAAATGTTACGAATATTGAGTGTAGATAATTATTTTAACAAAATATTTTATTTTAAAAATAATGTTTATCATTTTGGTGACAATAAAATAATTTTTGCTTTCTTATTAATTAACCTATTATATAAACATATAATTTAATTAATTATTATATTTTATATAAGTTTATTAAAAATATCAACTTTATTATAAGAAATTATAATTAACATAATGTAATATACAAATACATGTAAATATGTAAATTTTATTAATAAATATAAAATATTATTTATATAAATATTATTTTATTATAACACTATTAAATCGGATAAGATATAGCCGAAGACCAGGGATACTATAAGTAGTAAAAGTCGTATTAAATTCATACTCGAAGTCGGGTTAAGAAGTGTGGAAACCGTCGGCAAAAAGAAGTCCAAACCAATCAAATCGCAAATTACATAGAAAAACATGTATAACATTAGGGATGAGAACGTTAGCCAAAGAGTGTTCATTATATGATATCTAATATAAACCCTACAGAAAACATTTTTTAATACAATATAAAAACATCAGATAAATGATGCAAACCTTTTATAAATCATTTTTGCTTTTTGCATGTCTTCGTCGGTTTCCTTTAATATAAACCGTCGGCAACCGAACCAATAGTTTTCAATGTATTTTTTCCACTCAATCTCCCGAATATCAAAACCAAAGATCCGACGATCCGTTTCTGACATCTCATCCAAAAGAGCGAACGTATTTGTGATCTCATATTCCGGTGATGTCTTCATAAATAGTCGGATGTCTTTCATGTTGTGATTCATTTTTTCAGTAATATTCATAATTCCCGTCTTAATGCCCGACAGTTTGGCCAAAAAATGCATTATTAACGCAAACATCCAGTGTTTAAGATAGACTTCTAGCCGTAGTTTTAGTTTGTCTTGCAAAAACATCAACCTAGGTGGTCTTACAACTCGCTTTGATGGGAACCTTTGAGCAATCTTTTTAACCGATGTCATAAGATGTCTCATCGGCGGGGAAATGTCTCTCTTAGTTGTCAAGTGGTATACTTTAAGCTTTGGTTCACTTTATAATTATATTAAAGTATAATGCAAATTATAATATAACATGATAAAATTACAATAATTATTAACAGATTACAAATGTACGAACCATTTCTTACAATTGGACCAAATGCTAGTAATCAAAGCGTTGGCAACAAAATCAACGGGTATTACACAGTGAGCGCCAAACTTTCGGGACGGAAATACATTCATTAGACCCAAACCAATGGCTACGGCTGCAGAAGTGGTGCCCTGAAGTCCTTGAAGCCAACCCGGGGTCGGCTCCACACACGCACCCAATACAGCGGATGGTCTGATGATAACAATGTTAAGTCGATTGGACTCCTGTTGCAGAAGCTGTTCGGCCAATGCTTTTGATATGCAATAAGTGTTATTAAAATCTCGAAAGAAAAATTCTTGGAGTTTGTCCAGCACTTCGTCGGACACAGAATCGCAAACTTTTAGTACATATTCGGGCGAAATGACTATATTCTTCGGGACCGTCTCAACAGCAAAGTCTGAGCCGTTAAGTATGGCTGTAGTGGACGAGTAGACCAGACATTGAAGTCGTTTCATCTGATGGCACAACTCAATCAGTGGAACAATTGGTCGAAGATTGTGTTGAACCGCATCCCGGAGTGGAGGGTTTAGGTGGACAGAGGCCGCCAAATGGATCACTATATGCACGTTATCGATGATCTCGTCCCTATCGGCCGGACTAATGCCGAGTCCGGGCGCCACTGTGTCGCCAGCGATGGCCACTATTTTGTTGCATTTGCCCGACTCTCGCAAACCATTCAATTCAAATATGGGATCAGAGATATACTCTTCGGCCCTCTCTCTGGCCGTCTTTCCCCTCTTCGGTCGCACGAGAATATAGATTGTGTCGATTCCGTGGCATTCGTTCACATATTTCCACACCAAAGCCTATGTTTTTTTTTGTTGATTATATAGTTTATTGGTTAATAAATCTAGATGATTGTTTAACAAAATGAATAATTGGTAATTAATAGAACACATACTTTGCCCAGAAAACCTGTGGCTCCGGTTATAAAAAGTGATTTTCCGGTGTAAAATGTACTTATGTCTGATGTCATCGCAAACCTCTCTCTCTCTCTCTCTCTCTCTCTCACTTATGTTAATAAAATAAACGTATTGACAAAATGTTAAAATTTTGTGGCAAATAAATTTATAACAATTCTTTATAAATTTGCGCAATTAAAATAAAATATACATTTTATTATATAATTTTAATTATCCATATTATAAAGCAAGTTATTACAATAGTTTTCCTTGTATTTTTCCAGAAACATCAGTTAATATAATATTATATTATGTTAATAAATGGTGATATTTGGTTTTGTAAGATTTTCCACTAAAGTTATGATGAATGTACCATGATTAGAATTGAATAAAACTCACAATATCCCCAACGAGATAGTTAACCTTAATTTCATTTGAAGCATTGTATTAAATTAAATATTGTAAAATATTTTACTATTTTTTAAACAGATCTGTAATCATGTCTTAATAAAATATAATATTTATAGATAATATTTTAGTGAGAACTTTTTAACATACTGGGGTTTACAATTATAATATGTTATTATTAATAACTCATTTGTAATACGTTTATAGCAGTTAGGTTAATGTAAAGTGCTTTATATCACAAATATATTGTACTTTATATATAACTTTAAATTATTTCTTTATGTAAATGTCGCACATTTGTAAAGTCAGAACTTTATCCAAATTGTTCTAACATAGTTTTTCGATAAATTTACCATAATTACATTACAATTATACAGTATAATTTGTATTGTTTTTTAATTTTTTTTGTAACAAATAATAAAATCATGTAAAATAAATAAATTAGTCATGATAGTTAAAATATGAATACTACTGTATGTAAATTATCTGTATTATTCTAATATTATTATTGAGGATTTTATTACCTATTGTAATAATTATATTAACTATATTGCTATACTTTGTTATAACACTATTAAATCGGATAACTTATAGCCAAAGACCAGGGATACTATAAGTAGCAAAAGTCTTATCAAATCCATACTCGAAGTCGGGTTAAGAAGTGTGGAAACAGTCGGTAAGAAGAAGTCTAATTCAATCAAATCGCAAAATACATAGAAAAACATGTATAACATTAGGGATGAGAATGTCAGCCAAAGTGTGTTCATTATATGGTATCTGATATAAATCCTATAAAAATTATTATTACAATCAATTATTATTATTAAATAAATATATGTTTAAATAAAACAAACTTCTTATAGATTTTCTTCGCTTTCCGCATGTCTTCGTCGGTCTCCTTCAGTATAAACCGTCGGCAACCGAACCAATAGTTTTCAATGTATTTTTTCCACTCAATCTCCCGGATATCAAAGCCAAAGATCCGACGATCAGTTTCTGACATTTGATCCAAAAGAGCGAATGTATTTGTGATCTCATATTCTGGTGATGTCTTCATAAATAGTCGGATGTCTTTCATATTGTGATTTAACTTTGTTGTAATTTTCATAATTCCCGTCTTAATGCCCGACAGTTTGGACAAGAATTGTACGATATAAGCAAACATCCAATGTTTGAGATACACTTCTAATTGGATTTTGAGTTTATTTTGCATAAACATTAACCTAGGTGGTCTTAAAACTCTTATCGATGGAAACTTCTGAGCGTTTTTCTTAATGCCATTCATTATATCTCTCATCGGCGGTGAGAGGTTTGTCTTTGTAGTCAAGTGATATACTTTAAGTTTTGGTTCACTGTTTATATAAATATATTTATTTTATAATTTAATTTGATTTTAGCAATATATTAATAGTCAACTAACCATTGTTTACAATTGAACCAAACACTGGCAATTAGTCCGTTGGCCACAAAATCAACAGGTATTACACATTGAGCGCCAAACCTTCGGGACGGAAACACTTTCATGAGTCCGAGACCGACGGCCACCACAGCCGAAGTGCTGCCCTGAATGCCTTGAAGCCAACCCGGAGTCGGGTCCTCATAAGCGCACAATATTGCCGACGGTCTGACGATAACAATGTTAAGTCGATTGGACTCCTGTTGCAGAAGCTGTTCGGCCAATGCTTTTGATATGCAATAAGTATTATTAAACTCTCTAAAGAAAAACTTTCGGAATTTGTCCAACACTTCATTGGACACAGAATCGCACATTTTTAGCATATATTCGGGCGAAACCACCAAATTCTTATGGACCTTCTCGTCAGCGAAGTCCGAGCCGTTAAGTATGGCTGTAGTGGACGAGTAGACCAGACATTGAAGTCGTTTCATCTGATGGCACAACTCAATCAACGGAACAATTGGTCGAAGATTGTGTTGCACCGCATCCCGGAGTGGAGGGTTCAGGTGGACAGAGGCCGCCAAATGGATCATTATATGCACGTTAGCGATGATCTCGTCCCTATCGGCCGGACTAATGCCGAGTCCGGGCGCCACTGTATCGCCAGCGATGGCCACTATTTTGTCGCATTTGCCCGACTCTCGCAAACCATTCAATTCAAATATGGGATCAGAGATATACTCTTCGGCCCTCTCTTTGGCCGTCTTTCCCCTCTTCGGTCGCACGAGAATATAGATTGTGTCGATTCCGTGGCATTCATTCACATATTTCCAAACCAAAGCCTATGTTTTGTGAATTATATGATTTATTAGTCAATAAATCTAGATGGTAAGTTAACTAAATGAATAATTAGTAATTAATAGGACACATACTTTACCCAAAAGACCAGTGGCTCCGGTTATAAAGAGTGATTTCCCGGTATAAAACTTACAGATATCTGATGTCATCACAAATATTGAAGAAAGATAATATAATCAATGTATTGGCAAAATGTTTAAATAAGTATTAAAATTTTATTTATATAAAAAATATTTGTGCTAAATATTAACGCAAATGTAATAAAATTATCATGTATCATTACATCAGGTATTGGTATGACATTAGTTATTAATGAGATATTGAAAATATATGACAACTTATCATAATGCAATATGATTTCAAGTTACGGTAAATATTTTCCTTATATTTTCCCCATTTGAGTGACACTTATTTACCAAGTGTTAGTTCATTTTCATCTTGTTTTTTATTTACGAGCTATATAATTGAATTTTATTAAAATTATGTGACAAAACACTCCAGTAGTTAGTTTACCCTGACATAATTTAAATAATTGTATTAAATTTAATGATTATTTACATCAAATACTATATTTTAAAATATTTTCAATTTGTGTAAACAGATTTCCTTTCATAATTTTAAAAGTTAACCAATAATTTAAGCACAAATCTGTGTTATTTAAAACATTAATGTCTTTATAATTATGGGAATTAATAACAATTTTAATGGCGTTTGTAGTAATCATGTTAAAGAACGTACATAATACATTATGTACCATAATATTATTTGGTTCTTTACCTTTAGAAAACTTTTAATTATTTTAACACAGCTTTTGAGTATAAGTTATACAGTACTGCATAACTTTAAGTGAAATTGTTTAAACATTTTTCATTACAGTGTTTATAAGTAAAGAAAGGTAATTCAGTTCTACTTCTGATTGAAATGATTATTCAATTAAAAATGTAACTTTTATGGAAGAATATTTGAATAATTTTTTATTAATTTATAATTTGATGTTTTTATATATTCCTGTTAACCATATACAATTTAAATTTATTTATATATGGATTTATTAATCTATATTTACTTTTCATTTAATTCATTATTATCTTTAATAAATGACGAATTAGTATAACTATTATTGAAATCATTTTCATTATTATACATATTGTTATTGACGTCCATTTCTTTGTCATTTGAAATGATATCCATTTTTAAGGCAATCATTGGGTCGTATTTCTCAACCATTTCTTCAGCAGTTAATTGTCTTTTCACTGGTTTTTTGCGTCCGATTAACAAATCTGTAGTCAATGTCGCGAAGGGTTTCGTTATAATGATTGCACACAAAACCGACAAAACATATGTAATTATGAAGTCTGAGATAGCATTTGATATCTAAGAATAAATCCATTAAAAACATATGTATTTTAAAAATTGAATAGATTAATTAATAATAATATTTATTATTTTTATAAATATTTAAAATAATTGTACTTAAATATACACTCACCACATAATAATCATTATAAGTAACTTGCTCTCTTAAAGTGCCAACTTTGTACACGATAACAATGAGATGTAACTAAAATAAACAGTATATTTCATGAAATCAAATAAGTAGACAAATTTTATAAATCATAAAAACACTTACGATATATATTTCAAGTGTCACATTATTGATTACATTAAATCCCTTCCAACCCAGTATATTATTAATAAATGCTGTTTTTAAACAAATTGTATTATATATATATTTATAAACAATTTATAAAGACATTACCGGCTCTACCGGTGGCACAGGCGTAGAAAAGCCAACAAAATCCCGGCAAATAAACCACTTTATGAATTAATAGATATACGTGTTGTTCGTATCCATAAAGTCGTGTATATCTATAGCTAAAGTGACTAAAGTCTTTATTCCACCAAATTATTCCACAAGTCATCGAAAATGTCACTAAAGATATGATCGTCTCTCCTATCCGTCCGCCTAAGTATGCCTTCGGGTGCCGACGGATAGCATAAGCAGTGAGAATACCGATGATATAAGTCTGAATATATGTCCACAAGTCATCGAAAATGTCACTAAAGATATGATCGTCTCTCCTATCCGTCCGCCTAAGTATGCCTTCGGGTGCCGACGGATAGCATAAGCAGTGAGAATACCGATGATATAAGTCTGAATATATGGCAGAGATGACCAGTAATGATAAGTCCACGCTCTTAAAGTATCAGAAGTTATATCAGCGGAGAATCCCTGCCATTACACTCCCTATAATTTCATCTTCGCTCACTACTCTCCTTACCTATAAGGCTAGCGGTTATCCTTCTGTAAGGTCTCTTGTGGTTTAGACCCGTAAAACATCTCGCCGAGGAATGCCAACGGAGACATTGCATAGAGTTGGAAGTCGGCTGAAGTATACCTTGGTGGTTTTTAAAATATTAATTATTAAATTTGTTTAAGATAATATCATGTATTAATGACATACCATGTTACTACTTGACACTGTTTTTAACATCAATGACAAAAAAAAATTATTTTAAAAATATTTACACTAATTGTTATAATAATGCATACATTTTGAGGTGAAGACACGTTACTATTCGGGTGCATATAATAGTTAAAATTATTGATCATTAGCAGCGGTTTATACCATCGATCATAACATGGTTCTGATATAAAAAATTTAGCCAACTCCCAAAACGGTCCTAGGTAATTATACGCACATAATACTGTGTTAAAAATATACAATACATGATTGTAATAATATATAAATTACCATCTCCTAAAAGGTTGAATATAAAACTAATAAGGAGACCCGCCACAATCATTGGTAATAGTCGCAAGTACCTTTTAATGAATTAATTGTGATTAGAAAATATTCCACAAATATGCATAAAATGAAGACACAATGCGAGAGAGAGAGAGAGAGAGAGAGAGAGAGAGAGATCCTTTTAATTAATTAATTTTTTTAATAAATATTTTTAAAATATAAATGTATACATGTATAATAAGATAGAGATAGATAGGGATAGATATACAGAGAGAGGGAGAGAGAGAGAGAGAGAGAGATGTACTGTATATACCTAAAAATAATGAAATGAAAATAATTGAATTTTCCTTTGCTTTTCTCTAATTTAGACAAAACTGTATTACACAACAAAAGGGCTGCAAAACATAAAATAATGTAATTTATTAATTCACTTATTATTTTATTAGAATTAAATAGAGTATAATATAAAATACTATTAATACACAATACCTGAGATAAACATAAAGTTATCCATAAGTAAAGGATTGGCCAAAATGATATTTCGGTAATTTAATACCATTTTATAAGATAATGAATGATAATAATTGCGGACATGAATTATAGCATTTCCAGTCTCTATGGTGTGTATGACTACTATTAGAAATGAAAGGTAAGCTTTCATTCCGTCAAATGCTTTAAATTTTTCAAATTGTTTTAGACTAAAGATCTGTTTTGCGCTTTTTTTTGCTGAAAAACACCTCAAAATGTATGCAATCGTTGTTTTGCCCACAAATCGGTTGATTAGTGATTGTCGGGACGAACAGTGAAGGATTGTTCCCAATATTACCATAAGTGTTAATGTGGCAAATATTGCACTAAATTTAAATAATACAGTAGTATTAATTAATTTAGTCAACAAATTGTAAAATAGTAAAACATACATTGATACCATCTGTTGTATATCTAATTTTATCGGTTTATCTCTATATTCACAATTATTATGAAATTTAATGGGCAGTCGAGTGATTGGATACATAACTGCATAATTGTATGTAGGATTGAATCATATGTTAATTTAAAACGTTAATAGGATTACTAATAATATGGTTAATTCAATAATCAGATTAACAACATTTACTATTTAATAAATACTTACGTTCATTGATAGCGTCGGACAGGTCTTCGGGTTTACAAGTGGTCGGCAAACAGAAACCATTTATCATTTTCATGTCTTTTTTAATAAAATATGGAAAATATTCAAAGTATTCATTGATAGTGTTATTGTTATGTTGAAGGGAAACAATAGTCGACACATAAGACCCTAAGAGTCCATTCACTAAATTGTTAACAAAAACTGATTTATTCATCATTACATCCAAAGGTTCTATTTTCATGTCTTCTTTCTTTATATCTACTATAAAGTTGGTATCCATTGCACAGTACTGTCCTTTAATCACCGGTTTGTCCACTTCTTCGGGACTGACAATACTTAAGCATTGATCATAATTACCAATACTCGGACCACCTAGTTCAGTTACTGTCATTTGAAACGATGGCTGGGCGTCTAAAACTACAGTATTATAAATAAATTTACATATTATAATTTATAAATTATAATATAACAATTATAGTTATTTAGTTATTAATATAACAGTCAAATCAGTCTTGATATGATTTTTACAATTAATAAACAATTAGATTTTAAAGATAAATATTGGATTTGCTAATTGTTAAGAAAAAATGAGTTTATCAATTTGACATAAATATCAGTTTAAAATATATTACATTTCAGGGCCCAAAGCTCTCCATTCTTGACGGCAGACATAATTCTGATGAGAGATTGCATACAATTTGGCTCTAAATTAACGCTCATTAATGTCTCCGACAATCGATTGGAAAGTCTTTTATTCAATCCTTCGGTCTTTGCGCTAATATTTCTGCCAAAAGTACCCAATCTTTGCGACGCTTTTGATATTTGAACAAATGTTAATTTTTGGTAATCAGTGATCACTTTTCCCTCGTTATAGTCTTCGGGAGTCATTATATCAATCATTTTGTCAATTATCTCATCCTCTGAGCATCGATTGTCTTCATAATCATCATTGGATTCGCTGTCCGTTTCATTCAATAAACTATTATCCGTTCCCTCGAAGTCGTAATCATCCGAAACTAATCCATAATTACTTTTAATAAATATTGTAATAAATATTACAAATAAACAGTATTTAGATATCATTTTCATAGTTAATTATATTAACAAATTTTAAACAATTTTTAATTTTATAATAAAATCATTTTAACGTCAGAATTAAGTATTTTTTCAATCACTTTTACACATTAATAGGAAAAATTCACTGCAAACCATTAAAGACAGTTTTTGAAAATGTGCTTGTACTATTACTGCTTTACCCTCATTATTTATTTGAATATGAAAAGTTGGGTATTTTGTGTGCATAATCCTGTTATCACTAGTAGTTATATTAGACAAATTATATATTCACATAATTATTGTGCAAATTGATTTACGAATAGATTTTTACATAAATAATAATTTTGTCGTTAAATAATTTAGACATTTTCCGGTGTTTTGTTCCAATATATTGCTAAATACCGGTATTTTTGCAAATAAAACAAATAATTTCATAATTAAACTAAATATAATATTATTTTATATAAAATTGTTAATATTAAATGCATTATTTTAATAAAATTTATAAATGTAAGATAATTTAATAATCATGAAATTATGTTAGCAAAATTAATACAATTTTATTTAATTTCAATTTATTAGTAAAATAAGTACACTTCAATTCTATTATTTATAATACCAATTGTCAAAACTGTTAGAGTTCTTGCCGTGAATCTGGGATTCAAATAGTTTTGTCAATTGAATTAATCCGATATCAAACCAATAGTCGGATTTATTTCTCTACAAACGGGTGTCCAAACCATTTGACAATTGGTTTGCTTTGAATGGCTGTTCATTCAAAATCAATTGCAAACATTTTTTAAACAATTCTTTTGCATCAATAAATAGCACGTTTGAACAATTTATTAATACTATTTTATTTCTACTAATTTTAATTCAGAATATTAATATTCAATTTACACATATTTTATTTTACTTACTATTTAAGTAAAAAGTGTAACCTCTATAATTTATAAGAATCACATTCATTAATATTTTGAAATTAGGAAAAAGTATTTTTTATTAGTATACAATTCGGTGTTATTTGTAATAGTTTACAGTATATTTAAAGTGTATTTAAGTTTGAATTTATTTTATTTATTCTCTTTATTCAATTCATTTAATTGATTGTTATCTCTAATAAATGCAGAATTAGTATAACTATTATTAATATCATTTTCATTATTATTAGAAATATTGTTATTGAAATCAATTTCATTATCATTTGATAAGATGTCTATTTTTAAAGCAATCTTTGAATTGGATTTATCAATCATTTCTTCAGCCGTTAATTGTCTTTTCACTGGTTTTTTACTCCCGATTAACAAATCTGTAGTCAATGTCGCGAAAGGTCTCGTTATAATGAATGCACACAAAACTGCCGCCAAATATGTTATAATAAAGTCAGAGATAGCACTCGATATCTAATTAAAAATTCATTACAAACAAAAATTTTTAAAAATTAAATAGAGTAATTACGGAAATTACTGTTAATAATTATTATAAATATTTCAATATAACTTACTACATAATAATCATTATAAGTCACTTGCTCTCTTAAAGTGCCGACTCTGTAGACTATGGCAAACATATGTAACTGAAACATACAGATAATGTAATTATTATTGAATTTAAATAAGTAAAACATTTTTAAAATTACAAAACACTTACAAGATATATTTCAAGCGCCAAATTATTGATTACATTAAATCCCTTCCAACCCATTATCTTATTTATGGTTTCTGTGTTAATAAACAAATTATATTATATTTACATTTATTAACTACTTATAAATATATTACCGGCTCTACCGGTGGCACAGGCGTAGAAAAGCCAACAAAATCCCGATAAATAAAACACTTTATGAATCAATAGATATAAGTGTTGTTCGTATCCATTAAGTCGAGTGTATCGGTAACTAAAGTGACTAAAGTCTTTATTCCACCAGCAGATCCCAAATGTCATCGAAAATGTGATCAAAGATATGATCGTCTCTCCTATCCGTCCGCCTAAGTATGCCTTCGGGTGCCGACGGATAGCATAACCGGCGAGAATACCGACGATATAAGTCTGAAAGTACGGTAAAGATGACCAGTAATGGTAAGTCCAGGCGGCTATAGTAGCAGAAGTAGTGTCAGCGGAGAATCCCTGCCATATGTGAGGGATATTAAAGTAGAAGCGAGTGATGAGAGGAATGGATATTCCGATCGCCAATAGGAAGACATTCCAGAGAACACCAAATCTGGGCATTTTGTAGAGCGCGAGGAATGCCAACGGAGACAACGCATAGAGTTGGAAGTCGGCAGACGAGTACCTGGGTGGTTTGAGACATTAATTATTATTTTTAATTTTGTTACATAATATATACAGTATTAATAACATACCATGTTACTATTAGACACTGTTTTTTTAATACCAATGACATAAATAAATTAAATAATAAAATTATTATTTTAAAATATTTAAAATAATTTCTATTAATAATGCATACATTTAGTGGCATAGAAACGTTACTATTGGGATACTTATAGTGATTGAAATTATTAATCATTAGCAGTGGTTTATACCACCGATCATAACATGGCTCTGATATAGCAAACTTAGCAGTGGCCCAAAATGGTCCTAGATAATATACACAAATTACTATTTTTAAAATATACATTTTATAAATATTTATACCATCTCCAATCAGGTCGTATATAAAACTAATGAGGACACCCGCAGCAATCATTGGTAATAGGCGTATGTACCTTTTAATTAATTAATTTTTTTAATAAATATTTTTAAAATATATACATGTATAATAAGATAGGGATAGATATACAGAGAGAGGGAGAGAGAAAGTGAACTTAATAATGTTTTTACCTAAAAATAACGAAATGAAAATAATTGAATTTTCCTTTGCTTTGCTCTAATTTAGACAAAACTGTATTACACAACAGAAGTGCTGCAAAACATATAATATTTTTAGTTAATAATTGGATAAAATATAATATTCTATTGTAGTTAGTATTATCTAATTGTATTACAATACCTGATATGAACATAAAGTTATCCATAAGTAAAGGATTTGCAAAAAAGAGGTTTCGGTAATTTAATACCATTTTATAAGATAATGAATGATAATAATTGCGGACATGAATCATAGCATTTCCAATCTCTATGGTGTGAACGAATACTATTAGGAATGAAAGGTATGTTTTCATGCCATCCAAAGCCTTTAACTTTTCATATTGTCTGAGACTAAAGATCTGTTTTGCGCTCTTTTTGGCCGAAAAACACCTCAAAATGTATGCAATCGTTGTTTTGCCCACAAATCGGTTGATTAGTGATTGTCGGGACGAACAGTGAAGGATTGTTCCCAATATTACCATAAGTGTTAATGTGGCAAATATAGCACTACATTTAAATTATACATTAATATTAAGTAAATTATTATTAAATTATTATTAAAACATACATAACACTCATCTGTTGTTTATTCAATTTAATCGGTTTACCCACAAATTCACAATCATTAAGAAATTTAATGGGCAATCGAGTGATTGGATACATGACTGCATAGTAATAGTATATTAGATTGCATATTATATTAATTTAAAAACACTTATATAATACAGTAATACTAATAATAAAAGTAACAAAATTACTTACTTTCATTGATAGCGTCGGACAGGTCTTCGGGTCTACAAGTGGTGGGCAAACAGAAACCACTGATTATTTTCATGTCTTTTGTAATACCATATTCCATGTATTCAATCCATTCATTGTTAGTGTTATTGCTATTTTGAACGTCAAGAATAGTCTCCATATAAGAACCGAGTAATCCTTTCATAATATTTGTGGCAAAAACTGATTTATTCATTACTTCACCAAAATTATCTGATTTTTCGATGTTTTCTATCTTCATGTCTAATATAAAGTTGGTATCCATCGCACAGTACTGTCCTTTGATCACCGGTTGATCCACTTCTTCGGGACTAATAATACTTAAGCATTGATCATAATTACCAATACTCGGACCACCTAGTTCAGTTACTGTCATTTGAAACGATGGCTGGGCGTCAAAAACTATGAACGATGTAAATAAATATTATACAATTAATTTAATTAAAAATATCAATATATAACTAATCACTATTTACTCGTTTACAGTTATATTACACGGAATTAAACATTAGGAAATGGGTTCTCTGTTATAAATAAATAAAATGCATTACATTT